AGAATCTTATAAGATTCTGATAAGAATTCGGCAGCACCAGGAGCTTAATAAGCGCCAGAAGCAATCATAAAAGACCTTCATCTACTAAATTAAGATTCTGATATAAAAGCGGAATTTATGCAAACGACCAATATGCCGTGCGTGCATTGTCATCTCACATATGTATACTTTGTTAATATAAAACATATACTTTGTTTTTTGAACTTCATTTTCTTCCTATAGTCATAATAGATTTATGGAACTAAATTTGGTCTACAAGCAGTGGACAGTGAGGACAAGTCATGAGACTGTCCGTCAATGGGATTAAGGTCTTCTTATAGAAAAAAATTAAATAAGTGGAAAGAAAATTATTTTATTCATGTATGAAACAGTACAGTATAGAGTACTGACCACTAAAGAATGTGATGGAAAATGTGAGCTGTAATGGCAGGCTTTTGTTTTAAATAATATAAGACAAGCATAATACTATTCTATTTTCATCGAATATTTAGTTTAGTAACTATACGTAGATGTTGTGAAACAAGCATAAAATAACTTATGTTTGATAATTATAATACAGAAATGATGATGAGAGAAACTAAAAGGTGTAGATCTCAAGATAAGCTTTCTAAAAAAACGTGAGTTCTTAATTTAATCTTATTACCTATTTATCTTTCAAAACCAAACTGAGGCAGCACCTACAACTGTGAAAGGGGAAAAAAATTAAAAAAAATAAAAATAAAAATAGGATAGAAAGGTGGCAATTTTTATAGGTATTTAAAACCTTTTTTTCTTTCCTGACAACATGTATTGGTTAAATTTTTGTATTGTAATAATAAAGTTTACTATTTTCTGTCCAAAACTGCTGTTGTTGAAATAAAAATAAAATAAAATAAAATAAAACTATTCTATTTTCATCGAATATTTAGTTTAGTTACTATACGTAGATGTTGTGAAACAAGCATAAAATAACTTATGTTTGATAATTATAATACAGAAATGATGATGAGAGAAACTAAGAGGTGTAGATCTCAAGACAAGATAAGCTTTCTAAAAAAACGCGAGTTCTTAATTTAATCTTATTACTAATACTAATGGCGAGTAAGAATCATTGAAACGTACACCTGAGGAAAATAAAGTAGATAAGGAAAATTCAACTGAAAATATACAGTCCAAGTCGATGAAAAAAGTTGCGTAAACAACAGTTAGATTAGCTGTGATTTCTTTAGTATATACGCCACTTTCAGAAATAAGTTCCTTGTTAAAACAAACAGACACTGCTTCTTCGTCTCGTCTGAAATTATATGAAAAACGTCGATGTGTACAACGTGTGTATATAAGAAAAAAAGACGGCGTCGACGATAGAAAAAAAAACGAAAATCAAGTACTAGAGCCTTAGCGTATAGCACATATTAATGTGGTGCATATGTCGACATTCAAACGCATTTGTTATGATAGAACGAAAAAACAGAAACGTTTGATTTATTTGCATGGGGATGAATTATTTTTCTACCTATAAAAGACAAAGTACACAAGAAGAACGAAGAAAATGTGCGTTATCGTTGTCTTCTTTATCTTCGTCTTTAACATGTTTATCTCCATCATCTTTATCTTTCTCGTGGTCACTGTACATCCATTCCAAACGGAATGAATGTTCTTTTCCCCTAAAGACTGAACTGAATCCACAAAACACCGTCCCGTCCATGAATGGATTGTCGGATATAACGAAAAGGCCTTTTCTCCAGAATCACATTTCACGCCCCGCTTTGTTTCTCTAATCAAGAAGAAATTATACTACGTTCTGTTAAAATATGGCTTGAATCTGTTGAAGTCATGGATATAGTCAAACAAATATTCATGTAATCTATTTCCCTCTATGTACCGATAATTTCAAACATATTCAGCTGAAAAGTATTTATTTGAGGTAAAAAAGTCCCTTTCAATCTTTTTATCTAAACGAAAATCTATCCAGAGATTTCTTTGAGCAAGAAACAAACTCACAAAAATGCTTCGATAAAAATGAACAGTAAACAGTTTGTGTTTAACATCAGAGGGAAAAACACACACTTTTCATTTGTGAAAAATAATGTTACAAATAAACAGTTCCTGTGTATATCACGACGTGAAAAAAGGCACTATAAAAAGAATTTCTCGCATGAAAACCGAATATCACTTAGTGGTGGTTCAATTTATTTCGGACAAAGAAAAACGTCAAACAAAGTTCATAAACACATAAGTTTCAAAGTATAATGTTCGTCACTGACTGCTGAACTTAAACGATAAAATAACTAAACGACATGTAGAAGGGGAATCAGTTAAATGAAAGGAACGTTCGCTAGATGTGTAGTGAAATATATTCGTCTTCTTTTATATCGACGACCCCATCTTTTATCCTCTTGTTATCTCTGCATCAGTTTGGCACTCGTATTAGTATTTTACTGAAATACGTCTCAAAAACGCTTCCTTCAGTGTGAAAAAATCCAACTAAAACTATTAAAAAAATTGTTTTCGACATCGGTAGCAAGTAATCAAGTACTTGCATCAAGTACGTTCTCTAGGGACAGTGGTGAACACATTCGTCTCGTAAGCGAACAATAGTCCGAATTCAATTCTTGACAGGAAGAAAATATTTTTTAATGCATCTTTTCCAGAAGACACACCAGCTACTTGAAAAAAGACGCTAAAATAGGACTAAAGGGGATCCGACTTACATGTCTTTAATGCGACTAGTGCAAAGACGCTATAAAGTGACTACCACATAAGTCCCATCATGTGTCTTTAAAGGAGACAATAAAATGCGGCTTTTTAGGATCCGGCTTATGTATCTTACTAGAATCCGCATTTCTTTTTAGAGTGTGACTCTCTGATTTTCTGCCTCTACTATAATACATAAATTTGAAATATGTATATATATATTCAACATGGATCAGTAGAGATGGTTTCATACGGTCAGTTTTTCACGTTGGAAAGCGTAGCAAACATTCACTATATTCATTTTCAGGCAAATATATATTTATACTCGACATGACATCTTATTTTCCCGGTCAATTCAATTGTGCAACTTATCATTTTCTGGCAATTATCATTTGACTATTAAATGTACCGACAGAAGAATGTTTTGCAATAGGTAGATGCTCGTGATAGTTCAAAACGAGAAGTGCACGTTCACAAAATTACTTATGATGTAGTGAAAGAGCAGACAATGCGATAGTAAGTTTGAATTATCGACATAAAAAATATAAGACTGCTACGAACATGATTCTTTATTGTCAAAGTGATTTGAAAATAGAAAATTTTCAACTGTCTAAAAAAATTTTGCTGTTCTACTTTTATACCTGTTACGGCTTTTATGCTTTTCTGACTTTCATACAGTTATAATTTTCACAGTTTTTCTGCTGTTCTGAGTTTTATAGCTTTTATACCCGTTATGACTTATATGCTTTTCTGACTTTTATACTTCTATAGCTTTTACAGCTTATATGCCTTTATTACTTTTTTGATTTTTCCAGGTTTGTAGCTTTTCTGACTTATAAACGTTTATGCTTTCCAGCTTGTCCAAACCAACGCAGTGACATTTTTGACACAGTAGTTCCCAGTTTTCTCGAGAAGCAGGAGACCTAGACAGCTCATTCTTGCGCCATTCGATACAGCTCGTTAAACTCTATCTATGGTAAAAGAATGAAGGTTTTGGTACAAATCTGAAGGCTCTGGAGTTATTCTACGGAGCGTAACACAGTGGCAAAAAAAGACCCCGAATTTTTAGAGTTCTCGATAGAGCTACAATTCCCTACCAAACTAAAAAATGCATCTAGACAATTTCAAGAGACAAATTTATAGTACAGATCACAAGCTGTCGATCGGTAAAACGTTTTTCAGTTTGTCCAAACGTAACGCAGTGACATGTTTGACACAGTAGTTCGCAGTTTTCTCTAGAAGTAGGAGAAAAAAGCACGTTTTTGGTGTTTTCGAGTGTGCTCTTCAACATGGAATCATTCCTTTAGCTTAATTTCGAAAAAAATACCTGATCAACGAAGCCACGCTTTACGTGGGCAAGCTGTTTTCCGACTTTTATGCTTCTGTAGCTTGTACACCTTTTATGCCTTTATTACTTTTTGACTAATTGTGATAAAACACATCTCAGCTCACGTACATAGACCATGAATGGAGGATTAGAATGAACAATGAATACATGACACTGACAGATACTGTATATTTACCCTTTCTATCGCTTGTGTGTACAGTGTAATCCTTAAAGGAATGAAAGCGAAAATTATTCGCCCAGCTCATGAGAAAGCGACACGGCTCAGTCAATATTGAACTAGATCGTATTTACATCTACATAGTTATAACAAAATAACTACATTCGAACGTGGTCTCTTACATCTTGCCACATTCTCTCATTAAGTATCGATAAAGAAACGAAGACAAGCAAAATATCTCGTTGTGTTGACTGAACAAAAGAAGGGCGTCGAATGAGAAGTCGCCATTTTCGAATAATGGAATTAGTCAGATCACAGTATGCGTTTTTCGCGCACACATTTTTGCTTTCTCAAAGAAAAGTATTATCTCGGAACTCGAAAATGGTTCGAAACACTTCCAGACACCGTTCTGGAACTGTGAATCGCTTTGAAACTTTTCGAGAGACTCCGATGACTGAAATCTTTGCAATGCTTTAATTTCGGGCAGCAAAACATTTCTACAGCTGTCATCCGACGCTTCCAATTAATTAAATCACATTTGTCGGTTAAGATTCTGCCCTAGTCAACCGATCTTACGGCAATTCTATAGAAATCTTATAAGAATCTTATATAAGGCAGTCGATGGAAATGCGTAAGATATTGATAAGGTTCTTATAAGAAGAATATAAGAATCTTATAGACCCATTTCCATCTTTTATACTAGTTTAAAGTGCACGAGTTGTACACTAGGCTGGTCTATTTTTTAGAAAGATGGAAATGGGTCTATTCTAATTACTGTAATGCTAGTTCGCGAAGTTGGTGCAATATTCTTTAAACAGAAAAATGGCTGCTCTTATAAGGATGTCTGTTAAAAAAACGAACACATTGGAAGTATATATATGCCGATATATGTATCAACAATACAATCAAAGAAACCGAACTATACAAAATAAAATAAAATAAATNGAATAGAGGACGAGCGGAATAGAGGAATGACAGAGGAATAAGAGAGGAATAGTCGGGGAATAGAGGAATAGGGGAATTGAGGAATAACGACCGACCGACCGGAATACATTTTGAAAGGTTCCCTAAAAGGTGTAGCTCTCAAGATAAGGTCGAGACTTATAAACCGAGTCGAGATTGATAAACCAGGTCGAAATTTATATATTCATGGTATATTTAACAAAATTAAGCATCATCTAAAGATTTTCCTTACATTTAAAAGATTGATTATTCAAGATTTGATATAGGGGTGCTCGGTAAGAATGATATTTGTATCTAGTCACACCGTTTTCGTCACGTGTACGCCATATGCATTGTGAAAATGGAAATGTCCTCAAATTACGTTTATTTATTTCTTCTTGCGTTCTATCATACGCTCTTGCTATACGTCGTTTATTCTCTCTGTCATCTATTCTATTACTCTTCTTTGATCGCTCTGTTATTGTAGTCAGCTTTCGAGTGATATCATATATTCATCCTGTCTTTCTAGTGAACTTTCGAGAGATATCGTATACTTATTGTCTTTGCAGTCGACTTTCGAGGGATATTGAACTTTTTCTATGCACTATATAAACGAAGTAGGTTTGATAAGTGAATAATTCTGAATTTAATCAATTATTAATTCATATTACGCCATCAATTATTAATTCATCTCACAATTTTCCGAAGCCATCTAGATCACCGTAAAATTCATTCAATTTCGCTTTCTACGTTCAACATTTTTACACAAACGATATCGCAATTCTCATTATTATGGCTACTTCACCTATTGTGATAAATGACGAGAATACTTGTGACGAAACATCGAATTCGGAACTCAGTAGTTCTTCAAACTCATTCAATACCTCTTCGCCTAAGACAGTGGGATGTAATCGCAATTATATCTGGTCTCATTTTATCGATGAAGGTGAAGCAAAAACAGGTGGATATAGAAAGGCTCGTTGTCGATATTGCATGGTATTACTCAGTTATGCAAAACTACCAATGATGTACAATCATATTGCCAATCAATGTGATGTGGTGGTCACACAAAATCGTTCTGCACAGTTCGACACCATCGCAAAGCTGACAGAAATCGACCAGCAATATCAATCACCGAAGAGTGCAAAACGTTTTGCACAGGTAAACGATATCTTCGTTTAATCATCTCAAATTAACTACGCTTTATTGATATATCCTTACACTGCAATCCATTGAAGAGAATGTTTTTCGATTTTTTTAGATGACTCATCATCGACGAAGAAGCAAATGAAAATGGATCAGTATGGATTCCGAGTCATACCTCCCAATGAGAAACTCGACATCGACCGAACTTTATTAAAAGCACTCATCATGAATGGCGTACCATTTCAATTAGTGACCAATTCTTTCTTCTTAGATTTAACTCAAAAGCTAAATCCATCATATTGTCCACCGGATAAAATGAAACTTACTCGTCAAACTCTCACAAATGAACTTCTTTACGTCGAGAAGAAGAACGATTCGATTCTTACGGAAGCGTCCTATTTAACACTCAATCTCGATGGATGGACTGATCAAAGTCATAGATCCCTCTATGAATTCAGTGTTATCACAGAAAATCGTCGTGCCGTTGTGCTTGCTCTTGTGGATTTGAGTGCTTACAAGCACAGTGCAGAATTCCTACTCCAACGTCTCGAAGTTGTTCTACATAGGGCGTCGACGACGTTCAATATCACTGAAAAAATCATCGCGATTGTCACGGATAATCCAAATGTGATGGAAAAATTGCGGAATTTATTCATTGCGAAGCCAGCTTATCGTCACATTTTGGAGTTTCGATGTTTCGCTCATGCGATCAACTTGATTGCTGGTAAGTTTCTCCTATTCCAATCGTTCATGCGATAAATGTACTACAAGGATATGTGTGATTTTTTTAGTGGATATTGTCAAACATCCAACTGCTTTCAAAATTATTTCGAAAATTACCACTATCATATCTTATTGCAACCAGTCACACATGTTCAAAGCCAAATTAAAAGAAGAATCACTTCGGCTGAAATGCAATAAGGAAACATTGGATACAATCGTGGTGACGAGATGGACGAGTGTCGCTGATTGTCTTCTTTCTTTTCTTCTTTTACAAACGCCTCTACAAACGATCGTATCTACCGAAAAGGACAATTTGCCAGCAAAGATTGTAAATATTATTTGTCATCGGACATTCTTTACGGATATCGAACAATTTTATTCTATCATGAAAGTGCTGTCTTATGCGTTTACATTGATCCAAAGTCGTGGAGCTACACTAGCTGATTGTTACTTGATTCTTGCGTACCTTGACGTCGTAACGAAAGAATTTTCCAGTCAATGTGACTTCGTCACCTTCAGTCGATATGTGAGCAAGGTCGCAAATATTCATCTCACAGAATTTCAAAATGCTTTTTATCTCACGTGTTTTTATTTACATCCAAAATATCGTGGAGCTGGTCTCCATTCTGAAAGTCGAGCAACCGTTTATCGTTGTATTGCCGAATACAGTAAACTTATCGGCAACAGTTCATCAATAACAAAAAATGTGATTAGTGCTCTACAACGTTACGAAATCAAAGCTGGAGCGTATTCATTGACTTACGGAAAGAGTATGTATTTCTTGTCTTTCTCGATAATTTTCTTTATCAAACTATCATGTGAGTAGATGATACTGCATCAGCCTGGTGGTGTATGACACGTGATAACACTTATGGATCTTGTTTACAACAAATCGCATTACGTTTTCTATCAATTACTCCACTTGTTACTTGTTATTGTTACTACTTGTTATACCAGAACGGCTGTTTTCTATTCTGAGTTGGCATCATTCGAAACGAAGAAATCGTTTAAGTCCATTTACGTTGGAAGCAATAGCCAAAATTCATACGTTCTACAAGCACAACTCGGAGGATATTCAAGTTGATACTAATGTGATGGAAGATGCTCTTGGTGACGAAATTAGTTCAGAAAGTAATCTTTCTGATGTCACCATTACTAATGCAACCGCAGATGAATTTCAACGAACTATGAGGTGAGTCAACTTCACGATCTTGTTTCGCAGTCCATAAGATTAAATATATTTCATATTCTAGTGAATATCAAGAAATTCTGCAAGAAATGTCACAATCGGATGTGATTGATATACAATCTGTTGATGATAATGATCTACTTCAAATGGAAAAATTGTTAAACAAAGACGATCATGATCTTCATTCATTGTTTGTTGAAGCTGGTCTTCTTGATCAGCCAGACAAGTTGAATATCAATGAAGTACAAACGACAACTGAATGTGATCGACATAACGATGATTATGATGTGGATGATCTTTTGAAAGATATTATGGCTCACTAATGGTCTTTTCTCTCTATGATAATGTGCTTATCCATTTGTCAACCTGTCACTGCAGATGATAATCTGTTTTTTTTATCTTTGATTCATATCATTTATTTTTACTGTTTGAACATGCTCTCTCTATTCACAATGGAATAGATAGTATATTAGATAGTATATTATCCGCATATTCACAAGCAAACTCTGTATTCATAAATCATTGGAAAATTTATAAATCATCAAAAAATTTATAAATACAGAAAATGTTTATAACCGCCTTAAATTTGCGAGAGAAAAATTTATGATTTATAAATCGATTTATTTATATTGATTTATAAA